AATTCAAATATCAATAGAGTTCTTTAAAGAGATGGAAAAACTAATCATTAACTTTATATGGAAAGGGAAGAGGTCCCAGATAAGTAAAGCACTATTGAAGAAGAATAAAATAGGAGGACTCACACTAACTGACCTCAGAACCTACCATACAGCTATGATAGTCAAAACAGCCTGGTACTGGTACAACAACAGACACATGGACTGATGGAACAGAATTGGGAACCCAGATGTAAATCCATTCATCTATAGTCACCTGGTCTTCAACAAGGGACCAAAGTCCATCAGATGGGGAAAAGACAGACTTTTTTATAAATGGTGCTGACAAAATTTGGTGTTCATCCACAAGAAAATGAAACAGGACCCATACCTCACACTATACACAAAAACTAATTCAAAATGGATCAAAGACCTAAATATAAAACCAGAAACTATAAAGATAAGAGAAGGAGAATTAGGGTCAATGCTACAAGCCCTAATAGATGGCATTAACAGGATACAAAGTATAACTAACAATTTCAAACACCAGAAGGTAAGCTAGATAACTGGGATCTTCTAAAAATTAAACACTTAAGCTCATCAAAAGAATTCACCAGAAGACTAAGAAGAGTATCTACAGACTTGGAAAAAAAATTGGCTATGACAAATTCTACAAAGGTCTAATCTCTAAAATCTACAGGAAAATCCAACACCTCTACAACAAAGACAAATAAGCCAATTAAAAAACGGGCAAAGGATATGAATGGACACTTCACCAAAGAAGACATTCAAGTGGCTAACAGACACATGAAGAAAAGCTCGCATCACTAGTCGTTAGAGAAATGCAAAGGAAAATCACAATGAGATACCATCTCACCCCAACATTACTGGCACGAATCAAAAAAACAGAAAATAACAAATGTTGGAGAGGCTGCGAAGAGGTTGGAACTCTTATACACTTGCTGGTGGGAAGGCAAACTGGTACAACTACTTTGGAAAATGATATGGCGCTTCTTTAAAAAGCTAGAAATAGAAATACCATGTGATTCAGCAATCCCACTCCTAGGAATATATTCTAGAGAAGTAAGAGCCTTCACACGAATAGACATATGCACAACCATGTTCATTGCAGCACTGTTCACAATAGCAACCGGATGAAAACAACCTAGGTAACCGTTAACAGAAGAATGGATTAAAAAAACTGCGGTACATACACACAGTGGAATACTACTCAATGGTAAAGAACAATGATGAATCTGTGAAGCATCTCACAGCATGGATGAATCTGGATGGCACCATGCTGAATGAAATAAGTCAATCACAAAAGGACAAACATTGTATGAGACCTCTACTATAAAAACTCATGAAAAGGTTTACACACAAAAAGAAACAATCTTTGATGGTTATGAGGGAGGGGAGGGGTGGGGATGGAAAAATACTAAATGGTCAATAAATAAGTGATAACGTTGGTGAAGGGTAAGAAAGTACACAATACCGGGGAAGCCAGCACAACTTGTACAAGGAAAAATCATGGAAGCTCCATAGACACACTGAAACTCCCTGAAGGACCAAATTACTGGGCTGAGGGCTGAGGGGACCATGGTCTCGGGGAACAGCTAAAGCTCAATTGGCATGACATAGTTTGCGAAGAAAATGTTATATGTTCTACGTTGGTGAGTAGCGTCTAAGGTCTTAAAAGCCTGTGAGCAACTATCTAAGATACTCCACTGGTCTCACCCCTTCAGGAGCAAGGGAGAATGAAGAAAACTAAAGATGTAAGAGAAAGATCAGTCCAAAGGACTAATGCACCACAACTACCACGGCCTCCACCAGACTGAGTCCAGTACAACTAGATGGTGCCCGGCTACCACCACTGACTGCTCTGACAGGGCTCACAATAGAGGGTCCTAGACAGAGCTGGAGAAAAACACAGAACAAAATTCTAACTCACAAAAAAAGACCAGATTTACTGGCCTGACAGGGACTGGAGAAACCCCGAGAGTATGGTCCCCAGATACCCTTTTAGTTCAGTAATGAAGTCACTCCTGAGGTTCACCCTTCATCCAAAGATCAGGCAGGCCCATAAAACAAAACGAGACTAAATGAGCACACAGCCTAGGGGCAAGGACAAGAAGGCAGGAGGGGACAGGAAAGCTGGTAATGGGGAACCCAAGGTGGAGAAGGGGAGAGTGTTGACATGTTGTGGGGTTGGCAACCAGTGTCACAAACCTGTATGTATATTGTTTAATGAGGGACTAGTTTTCTCTGTAAACCTTCATCTAAAGTAAAATTAAAAAATTAAAAATACAATTGGAAAATTAAAAATTAAAAAAAAAAAAGCCTTGCAACTGTATCAATAAGCAACATCATGATAAACGGAGAAAATACTGAAGTTGTGAAGGGCTTCATTTTACTTGGATCCATAATCAACGCCCATGGACGCAGCAGTCGAGAAATCAAATGATGCATTATATTGGGTAAATCTGCTGCTAAAGATTTCTTTAAAGTGTTAAAAACAAAGATGTCACTTTAAGAAAAAAGGTACATCTGATGGAAGCCTTTATTGCATCATATGCATGTAAAAGCTGAACAATGAGTAACGATGACCTTATTGATGCCTTTGAATTACTGTTTTGGCGAAGATTGTTAAATATATCACGGACTGTCAGAAGAACGAACAAATCTGTTCTGGAAGAAGTACAGCCAGAATTCTCATTAGAAGTGAAGATGAGAGGAGACTTCGTCTCACATACTTTTGACATGTTATCAGGAGGGACCATTCCCTGGAGAAGGACATCATGCTCGATAGAGTAGAGGGTCGGTAAAAAAGAGGAAGACTCTCAAGGAAATGGATTGACACAGTGTCTGCAACAATGGGCTTAAGCATATCAGTGATTGTGAGGATGACTCCGGAGTGGGCAGTGTTTTGTTCTGCTGTACATACGGTTGCCATGAGTCAAACCGACTTGATGGCACCTAACAACAACAGCAACATTCTTAGAACAGTGGGCTTAGAACGTGGTGTATGTCCTTCTCATAGCAGAGACCATTAGTTGTCTGAGGGGCAGAAATGTACTTCCTGGTGCCTGGGCACAGAATTCATATGTTGTTACTTTCTCACCCACATTCTTTCTCAAAACAAGTCACATGGCCAAGCCTATCATTGATGGCTGCAAAGTGTACTTTTTCTATAGTAGACAGAGAGAGGAAAGACAGATTTGCAGAAAAATTATCTAATCTACCATAATAGATATAGGAATATTTTTCTCATTATATTTCATAATCAAAAAAAAAAAAAAACCCAAATCTATTGCCGTCGAGTGGATTCTGACACTCATAATGACCCTATAGGACAGAGAAGAAGTGCCCCGCACAGTTTCTAAGGCTGTAATCTTTATGGAAGCAGGCTGCCTCATCTTTCTCCCTTGGGGTGGCTGGTAGGTTCTAACTGCCAACCTTTTGGTTAGCAGCTGAGTGCTTAACTGCTGCGTCACCAGGGGTTTATTTTAGTAGGAAAACATCGGAAATAGAAAGCTTTTCGGTACTTTATTAATTTTTCTTTCTAGGTTTTTTCTTTCACTATTCCAAAAACTACTGCAAGGTAGTCTTGCATAGTGGCGAAGAACAGCAGATGGCTGCTTTTGTTAGTGTCCATTGTCAATGTACGGCTGAGGAGCAAGCAGTATAGCAGAAAGTGTAAGGACATGAGCAATGTCCAGTGGAGCTAGACCACTTGCGTATAAATCCTAATTCTACCCTATTAGTTATGTGATCTAGTTACGTAGCTGTTTTGGCTCAGTCTCCTCCCCTGAAAAATATAATAGAAACAGTGTGTTATTCACAGGGTTATTTGAAAAGCACTTTACAATAGTTACTGGCACATAAGTACTCAGTTATTTTTATTTGGAAGCTTTATGCTTCAGTTCTATCACCTGTAACACAATGACCATAATTATAGCTACCTAACAGAACTGCTCTGAGGAAAAAATAACGTAATATGTAAAGATTCTTAAAAGAAAGCCTTACCATATTAAATTCTTGCTATGTGTGTCTTGTCATATTTCGTGTCTCCAAATAGTCAACCAAATCCAATTCCCAAGAGAACATAAACTCTAAAACTTTGTCTTCTATCTTTCATTCATCAAATCTTTATGGCTTCAATAAATTAATTTTAGCCAGGTATTAAAAAATTAATCAGATTTAACTAATTTGGTCATATACATCAAGGATATATACATTTTAAGGAAAGTTTATGATAAATTTAATACATATTACATATGGATCAGGAGCCCTGGTGGCGCAGTGGTTAAGAGCTAGGCTGCTAACCAAAAGGTTGTCAGTTCAGATCCGTCAGC